CGAGTCATGAGCAAGCAAAACCTGATGATAAGTTGGCATCCATACCCTAATAAGTGCTTTACGGCCAGATCTACAGCGGATGTCAATGGGGTTTAAARGRGGGTTTAAAGGGGGGTTTAAAGGGGGTCTACAGGGTTTTGGATCTGCTCMGTSACTAGGGCTGAAGTAGYTCAGGGACCTCACTGCCTATCAAGCTGTGCATAYGTGGACGTAGTTGGGGACATCCMTTCAAATTGCAATGATAGTATGATACAGACTCTRTATTACAGAGTAGATAAGCATGCCCCCTGCGCAAGGATGACACACACAATAATAATACTAATTATTATTATTATTATTATTATTATTATTATTATTATTATTATTATTATTACTACTATTATTATTATTATTATTTGGAAGAAAAAATACATGACATATAATACACATGGGACGACAAGAACACAAGACATGTAAGGCCTCTGCATCGCATCTGTTGCTCGATTACTCGGGGACAATGCCCATTGGCCTACAGGGATTTACGGACAAAATAGCGCAGAAGAACATTCACTGTCAGTCAGACGATGTATGTGCCCTGTGGCTGAGCACCTACACTACATGCAACTGTTGATGAACAGATCATGAGTTCAAATCATAATGGATATATAGTATATACGTTAATAACTTAATATAACAATAATGTGTGGGGCCAGCGTCCTTCAAAAACCACATACATACATACATACATACATACATACATACATACATACATACATATACATACATACATACATACATACATACATACATATTACATACATACATACATACATACATAAATACATGCATACATACCGGCCTACAGGCAGAAAGGCAAGCATGCAGAAAAGCACACAGGCATATAGCCCATGCATATGTCAATAGGTGCCCAGGGCTCCAGCGCAGCTTGACGCATCGCTTGCTGTGCAGCCACAACATTTTACCACTTACAATAATTCACCTCTGTTTAATTCACCTGCAGGGGACTGATCCGCTCAATTCGTTTGCAGGTGACTGATGATTCACCTCCGGTGAATTCAACTGCAGGTAAATGATGATTCACCTCTGGTTAACTCGCCTGCCGGGTGACCGATGATTCACCTCCGGTAAATTCACCTGCAGGGTGACTGATGATTCACTTGCTGGTTCGCTGGCAGCTTGAGACACCTCGATGAAATTCACGTGCAGCACGAGACATCTCCCCTCGATAAATTCACCTGCGGCTTGAGACATCTCGTGCATATTGAGACATCTTATCCTGATGAAATCCACCTGCAGCTTGGGACAACCCCATAAAGATGCACCTGCAGCTTGAGTTATCTCGGTAAAAATTCACCTGCAGCTTGAGACACCCCCATAAAGATTCACCTGCAGCTTGAGTTATCGGGGTAAAAAATGCAGCTGCAGCTTGAGTTATCTGGTAAAAATGAACCTGCAGCTGCAGCTTGTGTTATCTCAGTAAAAATGCACCTGCAGCTGCAGCTTGAGTTATCTCGGTAAAAATGCACTTGCAGCTGCAGCTTGAGTTATCTCGGTAAAAATGCACCTGCAGCTTGAGACATCTTGTCCAGAGAAAGTCACCTGCAGAAGATGCTGGAATTCACTTGCAGCAGGTGAAARCMCARCATTGCCCACGGTCCACCAGTGCAGCTTTGAGGCATCGCCTGCTGTTGTGCCAACTGGYTGGCYGATGGTCATTACRACRGCACGTTCTGGCTCATCCGACTTGTGTGCAAAGCTGTAAACGTCAATCAGGTGCCCAGACCTCCAGAGCAGCTTGAGTGAGCCATGAAGGCCTGCCGTGCGGCCATAGCAACGCATCCCCCCTGGCGGTTTGGCTGCCAACTAGCTGATCAATGCAACAGCTCACTTTTAACACATCCCATGTCGTCGTGTGTTTAATAGACTTTTATTTAATGAATGAATGGTTTGCAGGAAGCCTACATGAATGTCTGTTAGTTAAGCGGGAGCGTGACTTAGGAATAACAATTTTTTTTTTTCTACCAGTGCGCAGAACTACTTCAATCATGTGGTCAAAGCTCCAGTGCAACTCGACCCATGGCCCGCCGTGCAGCCATAACAGTGATCGTCTACGGCGATTGGTCAGCCGATCAGCTGATCGAACGACTGCAGATCAAACACGGTCGATGGCACGGATTGCCCTCCCACTCCCAACCCCAATTGCTGGTTGAAATCACAGTTAAACAAGGCCCCATCCCATCCGACGCTGACCATATCCCTACGCATGACGCCATCTACTGCCACCGGGTTGAAGCTGCTGAGAAGCAGGTTCATGTAGGATTCCATCTCCCCTTTGCGATACAGATAGTCGGCGAACCTTTTAATTGGCATGTTGGTGACAGTGAACAGGTTATTAAAGGTTATGCCGTACGCCTCGAACAGTTCCGTCTTGTAGGCTGCCTGCAAGACGTCCTGTGCCGCAGGAAGGAAAGCCTCTTCTTTGCCATAACCCAGAGAATTTAGCATCTGGAGGGCTGCGATACTCTTCTTGAACACCCCTCCGCCTCGTTGCTTAGAGACGTTCTCCACGGTGTAGCAAGGGAGGGAGGCAACAACACGAACCTGATTCTCAGCAAGGAAATCGGCTAGGTGTTCTTGGCCTTCCACGAAGAGAACCGTTAGATTACAACGATCTATCACTTCCTTTCCGAGTTGTCGGGCCTCTTTCACAAGGTATCGGAACGCAGGGTTTAACTCCGGAGCACCGCCAGTCAGATCTACAACGGCGATCTCTTTGCTCCTCTCTAGGAGATTAACGATATGCTCTGCCGTCCTGTGATCCATCATCTYGGTGCGCAGAGGAGAGCTTTCCACGTGGCAGTGAGCGCAAGCTTGATTGCAATACAGCCCAATGTTGAGTTGCAGCGTGCCAACGCTCCTCCTCTTCAGAGGTCCCAGCCCCAACGACGACAGAGTTTGATAGAAACTCGGCA